TGGCGTAAAATGGAGTCTTCTTGGTGTGATGGGCTGATATGTCATTTATCCCACAGTTGTGGACCAGAGAGAGAGAGAGAGAGGCTGAAGGGGAGGGGTGTGTGTCTTAATGCCTAGAGAAGCTGGATGGTGCATGTAGGGTGAGACAAATGGGGCTTTTTTTTTTTTTCCTACTTCAGTTTCTTTTGCTGTTTGGCCACAGAAAGCCCTCCATTGGGGTTCCTGTCTGGGCTTGAGCATGAATCTTGGGAACCCTGTGTATTTTTGGCTCCTGGTAGAATGCCGCCCTAGCTGGTAAGCCAGCACCAGCCTCCCCAGTAAACCACCCCCTCACTCTGGAATAGGTTTGCCGAAGGCCCCCATGTGGGTTGAAAGCAGCTCTGTTCTGAGGCCACCCCAGGGCTGGCACCGGGCTCTGAGTCCCCAGGTAATGCTCAGAGACAGACAATGGCTCAACTGCTCTCTGCTTCCCACGTTCACCCACTCTGATCTGATAGCTTATAGTGAAGTATGTCAGGTTCAGTGATCTCCCAAGAAGAAGATTCAGCTTCGGGCCCAGAGACCAGGCTTGACCACTCAGGGCTCTTGTGTGGCAGAAGTTTTATTACAGTGAGAAGGGACAGAGGAAGCTTCTGACACAGACATCAGAAGGGGGCGGAGAGTGCTAGTGTTGGCAAGGGAGCTATATATACTTTTAAAATTGGTTATTACAGTAAATCAAAAGAATGTCTCAAGGTTGTAAAGATATTACTAGACCCACTCCCACAATTTATATTTTAAGATGACAGAATTAGAACTAACAATAGAAAGATTTTACTAGACTCCCCTCCCATAAGATACATTTTACGATAACAGGATTAGTCAGAAGGTTCTCAAGAAAGAGAAACATGTCCTCAAGCATGATACATATGTTTTATATATATATATATATATATACACATATGTATGTATGTATGTATGTGTACATATATAAGTTATATATGTAATCCTTGGGCTTCCCTCATAGCTCTGTTGGTAAAGAATCCACCTGCATTGCCAGAGACTCTGGTTTGATTCCTGGGATGGGAAGGTCTCTGGAGAAGAGATAGACTACGCACTCCAGTATGCTTGGGTTTCCCTGGTGGCTCAGCTGGTAAAGAATCTGCTGGGCTTGATCCCTGGGCTGGGAAGATCCCCTGGAGAAGGAAAAGCCCACCCACTCCAGCACTCTGGCCTGGAGAATTCCATGGACTATACAGTCCATGGGGTTGCAAAGAGTCGGACAGGACTGAGAAACATCATGTTCAAGAGAACAGGATCATGGACAAGAGAAACATGTCCTCAAGCAGGATACATTGTTGTTTTATATGTAAAATCCTTAGTACAGAGTTTAAGCTGAGTTTTATCAGCTCTGGGCTTAAAGAAAAAAATGTCTTATGTGACTAAGACTAAGGAATGTAGGGGGAAAAACTTGTCCTTTTCTCCTCCTCGAGAGCTCCAAACACTTATCCTCTTTGAAAGCCCCAGACCCCTCTTTCCTCCTCGGGGACCCCTGACTTCTTATCATTGCACCTAGAAATTGGCTCTCGGACCCTCCCACCCTCACCCACTCCTCGATTCCCGCCAGCTTTCCTGAGCGGAGTCACCCCCTGCTGCCCCCAGGTGTGCAGTGACCACATTTTTTTTTTTTTTTTAGTGACTCGAAATGCCACATTCCTGGTGGCTCTGAATCCTATTCTTCACTGCATACGAGCTTCCTATTGCTGCTGCAGCACCTGACCCCAGAATCAGTGGCTAGAGCAGGCAGAGCACACTTAGTACCTGACTGTTCCTGGGGACGGAAATCCAAAGCTGCTCTCTCTGGGTTTGATCAGGGTGTGGGCAGGCCTTTGGGCGGGCCTCAGGGAGACTCACTGCTTGGCCTTTTCCAGTTTCTCCTCTTTCCCTTACAGGGACCCTGTGAGTACACTGGCCTCCCTGGATAATCCAGGGAAGCCCCTCCTCACCTCAGGTCCTTTGCTTACTCTGCTGGCAGAGTCTCTTTGAACATACTCAGTCTCTTTGAACCTGGGGATTAGGGCGCGCTTGTCTCTGTGAGGTTGTCAATACTGCCTCCCCGGCACGGGCCATCTCCTCCCTGTATTACAGGGGAGACCCTGAGGTGGGTCAGGCCCACCCCAAGCCTAGAGTCTTGCAAATTGTCTCACATGGGAACAACTCAAGGTGGATCAAACACCCAGTTTTATCAGTCAGTTCAGTCGCTCAGTCGTGTCTGACTCTTTGTGACCCCATGAATCGCAGCACGTCAGGCCTCCCTGTCCATCACCAACTCCCGGAGTTTACTCAAACTCATGTCCATCGAGGCGGTGATGCCATCCAGCCATCTCATCCTCTGTCATCCCCTTCTCCTCCTGCCCCCAATCCCTCCCAGCATCAGGGTCTTTTCCAATGAGTCAACTCTTCACATGAGGTGGCCAAAGTATTGGAGTTTCAGCTTCAGCATCAGTCCTTCCAATGAACACCCAGGAAGGATCTCCTTTAGGATGGGCTGGTTGGATCTCCTTGCAGTCCAAGGGACTCTCTAGAGTCTTCTCCAACACTATAGTTCAAAAGCATCAATTTTTCAGCGCTCAGCTTTCTTCACAGTCCAACTCTCACATCCATACATGACCACTGGAAAAACCATAGCCTTGACCAGATGGACCTTTGTTGGCAAAGTAATGTCTCTGCTTTTTAATATGCTATCTTGGTTGGTCATAACTTTCCTTCCAAGGAGTAAGAATCTTTTAATTTCATAACTGCAGTCACCTTCTGCAGTGATTTTGGAGCCCCCAAAAATAAAGTCTGACACTGTTTCCACTGTCTCCCCATCTATTTCCCATGAGGTGATGGGACCAGATGCCATGATCTTAGTTTTCTGAATGTTAAGCTTTAGGTCAACTTTTTCACTCCCCTCTGTCACTTTCAACAAGAGGCTTTTTAGTTCCTCTTCACTTTCTGCCACAAGTGTGGTGTCATCTGCATATCTGGGGTTATTGCTATCTCTCTTGGCAATCTTGATCCCAGCTTGTGCTTCTTCTCCCAGCGTTTCTCATTTTGTACTCTGCATATAGGTTAAATAAGCAGGGAGACAATATACAGCCTTGACGTACTCCTTTTCCTATTTGGAACCAGTCTGTTGTTCCATGTCCAGTTCTACCTGTTGCTTCCTGACCTGGATACAGGTTTCTCAAGAGGCAGGTCAGGTGGTCTTGTATGCCCATCTCTTTCAGAATTCTCCACAGTTTATTGTGATTCACACAGTTGAAGGCTTTGGCGTAGTCAATAAAGCAGAAATAGATGTTTTTCTGGAACTCTCTTGATTTTTCGATGATCCAGCGGATATTGGCAGCACTGTCCATGATAGCCAAGACATGGAAAGAACCTGTCTATGGATAGATGCATGGATAAAGAACACGTGGTACATATATACAGTGGAATATTACTTGGCCACAAACAGGAATGAAATAATGTCATTTGCAGCACCATGGTGGATCTAGAGGTTATCATACTAAGTGAAGTCAGTCAGAGAGAAAGACAAATACCCCATGACATCACTTACATATGTTATTTAAAATACAGCACAAATTGAACCTGTCTATTAATACGGAACAGAGACTCACAGACAGGGAGAGCAGACATGTAGTTGCCAAGAAGAAGGGGGTGAGGGAGAGACGAATTGGTAGTTTGGGATTAGCAGCTGCAAACTATTGTATAAAGGATGGATAAACAACAAGGCCCTACCATACAGCACATGGAACTATATTCAGTATCCTGTGGTAAACCATATGGAAAACAATATGAAAAAGAATATGTATAACAGGGTTACTTTGCTATACAGCAGAAATTCACACAACATTGTAGATCGACTAGCGTTCAATAAAACTTTTTTTTTCTTTTTTTAAATTATTTGGCTGCATTGGGTCTTAGTTGCAGCATATGGGATCTAGTTCCCTGACTAAGGATTGAACCTTGGTCCTCTGCATTGGGAGCCTACAGTCTTATCCACTAGACCACCAGGGAAGTCCCCAAAACTTTTTTTTTTTCAAATGCCATTCTCGGATCACTCACCTTGTGCAGACTGAGCTGGTTGTGGTCCTGGAGTCAGTGCTGGGTTTCAGTCTCAGCCCCACCATTTACAAGGCCTGTCCTGTGCAAAGCGCTCCACCTCCCTGAGCTCCAGCTTCCTCACCTGTGACGTGAGGTTGACTCAGCAAAGCTTTGAGCTTCGGAGAGACTCAACCGAGAACACACATGAAGCACTTTCCAGTGCTGAGCATGTAAAAGGCACTTGATAATTGACCCCAGCCACTCCTGGATTCCAAGTCAAACATTCCAAGCTCTTCCCCTTTATCGAATCTTTCACTGGCACTGGAATAAGCAGTGGGCAAAACTACGCTGTCTCTGCCCTTGTGGTCAGGCAGAGAGACCGTAGTCAGTACAAGCACATGAAGAGGCGTGAAGGTACAAGTGCTGCAGGAGTGTGTGATTAAAGGATTTGACTCAGTGAGGTCCGAGATGGCCACCCAGCAGAAGTGATGCCTGAGCTGAGACCCACAGGCAGGAGCAGTTAGCAGCCAGTTGATACAGGGCATCACTGACAGGAACAGCATGTGCAAAGGCCCTGTGGTAGGGAGGACAGGCTGTGTGGTGAGTGTGAGGGACTGAAAGAAGGTCTGTGTGGCACTGTGCTGCCCTGCTCCTTCACCTCGGAGGCCGCCGAAGCCTTCTTGTGCCTCCTGCCTCTTGTGGCTGTGGACACAGAGATGAGTGAGGGCAGAGTATGGAGGCAGGGCTGCCTGAGACAACAGGGCTGTCTTACCGATCCAGCCTTGGGGGTTCCAGGGTGGGTGGTTAGGGTCGCATGACCTGAGTTTCTGTGGGCACCAGCCTGGGGGCAGGTGGGTTGGGGCTGGAGAGGCTGGGCCCTGGCCCCACCTCCACCCCCCTCCCCTTGCCATGACATCCTTTTCTGGGGCCAGGTGAAGAAGATGGGCGAGCTGGGGCTCATGGCCATGAACGTGCCTGAGGAGCTCAGCGGAGCTAGCCTCGATTACCTGGCCTACTCCATCGCCATGGAGGAGATCAGCCGGGGCTGCGCCTCCACGGGAGTCATCATGAGTGTCAACAATGTGAGTCTCCCGCCTGGGCTGCGGACACACAGGCAGAGGGGGAGGCTCCGGGCGGCCCCGCGTCCAGGGCACAGCCCTCCCGTGGCTCCCTGCCCCGACCGCCTCGAGGCCTGGCCCTCTGCATGGGGCCTCTGGGGAGAGGAGGCCTGGGGGTGGGCATGCGGGCGTGCTGGGGCCTGCGACGCCTGTCCCGCACTGTCCCCGCCAGTCCCTCTACTTGGGGCCCATCCTGAAGTTCGGCACCAAGGAGCAGAAGCAGCGGTGGGTCACTCCCTTCACTAGTGGTGACAAAATCGGCTGCTTTGCCCTCAGTGAACCAGGTACCACCGTGGGACAGTGGGTCACCCACCCCCACCCCGCCTGGCGTCCACCTTGACCGAGCTGGGAGGGAGGCACTTGGACCCCGGGCTCCCTTTGGCTTGGAGACAGCTGGGTGCCACGCCCCCCACCCTGAGAGCTGAGGGAGCTGGTGTGGCCCTCCAGCCCCTTCTCTCAGGAGCCAGACCCTGATTCCCTGCACCTGGGTCTGGCTCACCAGCTTGGTAGGGGGGTGGGCAGAATAGGGGGCTTGCTTGGGGGGGTTGGGGGTGCTTGGTGTGGGAGGTGCGAGGTTGGGTCCCTGGTGAGCTGGCGGCGGTGAACTCTTGAGTCTGTGTGTGGGGCAGGGAACGGCAGCGACGCAGGGGCCGCGGCCACCACCGCGCGGGCAGACGGTGACTCGTGGGTCCTGAGTGGCACCAAGGCCTGGATCACCAATGCCTGGGAGGCCTCGGCCGCCGTGGTCTTCGCCAGCACCGACAGATCCTTGCATAACAAGGTGGGGGGCCCGCAAGGGAGGGGCGACGAGCCGCTCAGAGTTTCTCCAGCCACATCTCTGCGGTTCAGTGGAGCCTCTTGGGCTCTGGGGCTCTTGCTAGCCCACCTTTTCCGTCCCCGGGGCGGCGCTGTCCCCGGAGGAGCCAGCAGAGGGCGTCACAGCGAGGTTCTGAGGGAGGTGGAAGTGTTGGGGGGGACCTGAGTGGGAGTCTCAGTGGTTCGTCTGAGGGGCGTGGCCTCGGGCCGGTGAGCAAGCCAGGGGCGTGTCCCGGCCTCCAGGGCATCAGTGCCTTCCTGGTCCCCATGCCCACACCCGGGCTCACGCTGGGGAAGAAGGAAGATAAGCTGGGCATCCGGGCCTCGTCCACGGCCAACCTCATCTTCGAGGACTGTCGCATCCCCAAGGACAGCCTGCTGGGGGAGCCGGGGATGGGCTTCAAGATCGCCATGGTGAGCCCGGCAGCGAGGGGCGGTGGGGGGGGGGGGTCCCTAGGGTGAGGCCCTGGGGAACGGCCGGCCCCTGACAGGTGGGTCCTCACAGCAAACCCTGGACATGGGCCGCATCGGCATCGCCTCCCAAGCCCTGGGCATCGCCCAGGCCGCCCTGGACTGTGCTGTGAGCTACGCCGAGAACCGCAGGGCTTTCGGGGCGCCCCTCATCAAGCTGCAGGGCATCCAGGTAACACAGGCGCGCAGGCTTGCCTGGACGCCGGGGGACGTGATTTCGGCCTCTCCTCCCTGCCTCCCAGACGGCTTTCAACCGCTGCCCTGTCCTCCGCCCTCCTCCGTCCCGCCCCTCAAGGGGAGGGGAGGGCTGGCTAGTAGTGACCGGTGGGGCGGGTCTGGGTTGTTGCAGTTCAAGTTGGCGGATATGGCCCTGGCCCTGGAGAGTGCCCGGCTGCTGACCTGGCGCGCTGCCATGCTGAAGGACAACAAGAAGCCTTTCACCAAGGTGCTGGCAGGGCAGGGGTCTCCTCGGGCCCAGCCAGGAGCTTCGGTGGCGGCAGAGGCACTGAGGGAGACGTCCGGGTGGGGTCCCAGTTCCTTGAGCCTCTGGGTTTATCGCTCCAAGGGGCGGCTTCCCCAGGCCCGCCCTGTTGAACAGGCCAGGTACTAAGAATTTCTGACGCCACTGTCCTCTGTGGTTAGGAGGCGGCAATGGCCAAGCTGGCCGCATCGGAGGCCGCAACTGCCATCACCCACCAGGTGAGCGTCCCCACTGCCTGGGTGAACTCCCCAGGGCTGGGTAAGCGGGAGTGTGCCAGCTGCCTCTCCCTCCCCGCTGGTCCTTCTGTGTGGATGGTCCTGCCCTGTCTTTCCCCCACGAGTTGGGGGGGGGGGGATAGTCTTCTCTTCCTGAGCCCTCGCGTTCCCCCTCAGGCCATACAGATCCTGGGCGGCATGGGCTACGTGACGGAGATGCCGGCCGAGCGGCACTACCGCGATGCCCGCGTCACCGAGATTTATGAAGGCACCAGTGAGATCCAGAGGCTGGTGGTCGCCGGGCACCTGCTCAAGAGCTACCGGAGCTGAGCCCTCTCTGGAGGGCCGACCGTGCCGGCCGGAGAGCCGGGCTGGCCTGAGGACCCTGGGAAAGGGGGCGGGAGTCACGTGGCTTTCCTCTTGACTCCGCCGCGGGAGGCGGCGGGGCGGAAGGAGGGGCGGGGCCACGCCCCCTCTTGCCAGGACCCCTCCCACCCACCAGGCCCAGCCTCCTGGGTGGGCCTGCTGCCCGCCCTTAACCTCTGTCCACCCAGAGCCGGCTTTCAGGGAATAAGCGGAGGCGGGGCTGCGACCTGGCCTGAGGACGCCCATCTCCAGCTGTTTCTTGACTTTGTTGCCTCTCCACCGCTGACAGTGCCTTTATTTTCTTCATCTGGGAGCTGGGCCGTGGGAAGAGAGAAATGATCCCCCCGGGGATCCCGGGTTCTGTCCTGTGGGTCCTGGCGCTCAGCAGGAGACCCAGCGTCTGCCGTTTCCTCTAAGATCAGGGTCTGGAGGAGTGGGATGGGGGCCCAAACGACCACATCTCAACGCAGAAGTTCTGTCCTCTGAGGCCCCGCCCCCCCCCCCCCCCCCCCGCCTTGGGGCTGGGTCGTTACGGAAGCCTTCCTGCGCACCGATAACCTTTGTGAAGTATAAATGAGTACAGGTGAGGGGTCTGGCTTGGTGCTTTGGGACAGTCATATGTGGGAACCGAGTAATAAAGCATACCTGTTGCCGGCGCAGTCGTGATTCACCAGTCCAAAAAAAAAAAAAAAAGCATACCTGTCCCTTGACCCGTGTGTCCTTGCCTGGGTGCTGCTGGGGAGGGAACGATGGTCCTTTAGTCTGCCCTCTACAGACCTCCACCATGTGTGAGTGTGTGTGTGTGTGAGAGAGGAGCTGGCTGCTGCAGCAGCAGGGTCCACCTCCAGCCTGGAAGAGCTCCCACAGGAGGCAGAAGAATAAGGAGCTGAGTCCCGTGGCTGCTGGTGTCTGGAAGACTAGCTGCTGGGCAGGGAGGGCCAGCCAGGTCAGGGCCACTGCCGGGCGGGCAGGCAGGGGAGTACCTGGCAGACCTAGCCTCGGGGCTGGAGGAGAGAGGATGCCAGAGGGGCTGGGGGTAGGGGAGAACAGAAGGAGCAAAGCGAAATAAATGGAGACTTTCATAGCATCTCTTTTGCTTACTGTCTGTTCACCGAGGGCTGCACTGAACCTGTAGTGATAGGGTCCCGGCGCCAAGCCAAACTCAGGTGCACTCAGCTGACATGCAGCAAAACCAGTCTACTGACACTAGGCTGTGGTGAAAGGACATATGGGGTTTATTGCAAGTGTCAAGTGAAGGAGTGGGAGGCAAACCCCGAAGTCACTGCCTCCTGCATGGTCCTTGAGGTGGGGGTTTTTAAGGGGAAGAGCAAAGAGGCCGGCATTAATGGTTTCTGTGGCTTTTCTTAATAGCAGTTTTGGGAGTTGGGGATGTCTCTGATTTACAATTCTCTGGCCCAGTGGTCTCTGGCTGGGAGTCTGTGAGCTCCTCTTGCCCTGGAGAAGCAACCCAAGTTTGTAAGATGATGATAGGATCTTTAATAGCAGTTTGAGCACAATAGCGATGATATGGACAGCAGTTGTAGCCATCTGCCTTGGACTGGGTAAGATTCAGTTAGCAGAGGACTGAGGTCATGGGGTACCAGAAAGGGGATAAAGTTTTGGAAAGTGAAAGTGTTAGTCTCTCGGTCCTGTCCCACTCTTGGGGATCCCATGGGCTGTAGCCAGCCAGGTGCCTCTGTCCATGGGATTCTCCAGGGAAGAATACTGAAGTGGGTTGCCGTTCCCTTCTCCAGGAGATCTTCCCGACCCAGGAATCGAACCAGGGACTCCTGGATTGCTGGCAGCTTCATTACCGTCTGAGCCACTAGGGAACCGCAGCCTTTTGGAGAGAGAGATTAATCATAAACGCAGCAAGGAAACGGGTTTTAGGAGGGTTGGGTTTTCAGTCCCGGTTATGCGGGGCTGGCTGGAACGGAAGAGCCTCTGCGGGAGTGGGGGGGGGGGCGGTGCGGGGAGCACGCGACGATCACCGCTGTGGCCCAAGGCAGAGAAGACAGTGGAGCTGCTGGAGCAGAAGACGGAAAAGGGCGGTGGGGTGGGGATGAGAAAAGCCTGCAAAGAGAACTTCAGAGGAGGTAGGGACAGCCCTCCACCGCCGAGCGGGAAGGGCTGAGACGTAGGCTTGAGGTCTCTGGAGGGAAGAGGGGACAGGGACATGATTCATTTGAAGCCACCATCCAGTGGGCGCCCAACCACGCGGGCCTCCAGCCCGCCGTCCCCCGGGAGCCCAGGGCCGGCCTTGCTTTTAACCCTCGGGCAGCGCCCGAGCCGAGGCTCCCGCGGGAGAGAGCGGCTTTCTGGGCACACGTTCCTTGAGGTCGGGGCGGGGCACCTGATCCAGGTGCGCGGGATGGAGGAGTTTGGCCGTGCGGGGCCGGGAGGCTCAGCGGCGGCAGCGTGTTTCCCCCACCGCGCAGGCGGTGAGGCGGGGCGTGAGTGGTTACAGGTGCGGGATCCCGGGATCCCGAGACGCCCTGGCGCACGGACGCGGCCACCGGGCAGAGCGCACGGACCGCTTCACTGCCCTCGGCGTCTGCGGAGCTGCGCCTCCTCCTACTCCAGGTAAGCGGCCAGCGCACTCCTCTGCGGGGCCCTGGGCTGGGGTGCAAGCTGAAGGTGCGGGGAGCAGCTTGGGATTCAGGGCTCTTGCCCCGGAGCAGCCACGGTTGAGCCATCCCACCTGGGAGGCAGGGGAAGAACGGTCTCTTCCCGACTCAGTGACCCTGCCAACTGAGGCACCACAGGCTACCAGATGGCACCACGCCGCCTCCAACGAGGCAGTCCTGGCTGCTGGCCTGGGTGAGGGTGTGGGGACAGGCACGAGGTTGAGGCGATCTCTGGGCCTTTCCTCCAGGCAGTGGTGGCCCTCCACTTTGTGGCTTTGAGGTTCACAGGGGAACAGAGGAGGCCCAACCTGAGCCTCCTCTTCTCCTGAACCCCGGCCGCAGGCGGGACGCCAGGCTGAGAACCCACTTCTCCTGCTCTGGACTCTGGCCCCTCCTGGCCTGGCATCAAGCCAGCCTGGCCTACCTGCTGAAAAGGCTCCAGGCCTTGAAGGGCCAGGCAGCCAGAGCCACAGAGCTCCTGCAGGGCACAGGGCTGGGACAGCGGAGTCAGCCCCACCTGGGAAATATGCTGACTTACCCAGTGGCCACCCCAGCTGACCGTGTTCTTCTCAGATGGGGCTGGGAAGAACCTCAGCAACAGGGCCAGATAAAGTCATACTACCCTCCCTTTTGCCCGTGAAAAGCCAGGGTCTCTGAGCCAAGCTCACTGCACTCCTGGGTTTCCAAAAGCTCTCACAGGTCTCGGGTCTCCCTTTCCAGTTGCGGGGGCGGAAGTTAGTTCAGTCGCTCAGTCATGTCTGACTCTTTGCAACCCCATGGACTGCAGCATGCCAGGCTTCCCTGTCCATCACCAACTCTGAGAATTTACTCAAACTCATGTCCATCACGTCGGTGATGCCTTCCAACCATCTCATCCTCTGTCCTCCAATTCTCCTCCCGCCTTCAATCTTTCCTAGCATCAGGGTCTTTTCCAAGGAGTCAGCTCTTCGCACAGGTGGCCAAAGTATTGGAGTTTCAGCTTCAGCGTCAGTCCTTCCAATGAATACCCAGGACTGACCTCCTTTAGGATGGACTGGTTGGATCTCCTTGCAGTCCAAGGGACTCTCGAGTCTTCTCCAACACCACAGTTCAAAAGCATCGATTCTTCTGTGCTCAGCTTTCTTTATAGTCCAACCCTCACATCCATACATGACCACTGGAACAACCATGGCTTTGACTAGACGGACCTTTGTTGGTCTCTGCTTTTTAATGTGCTGTCTAGGTTAGTCATAACTTTTCTTCCAAGGAGCAAACATCTTTTAATTTCGTGGCTGCAGTCACCATCTGCAGTGATTTTGGAGCCCTGAAAAAAAATAAAGGCTGTCACTATTTCCATTGTTTCCCCATCTATTTGCCATGAAGTGATGGGACCCGATGCCATGATCTTAGTTTTCTGAATGTTGAGTTTTAAGCCAACTTTTTCACACTCCTCTTTCATTTTCATCAAGAAGCTTTTTAGTTCCTCTTCACTTTCTGCCACAAGTGTGGTGTCATCTGCATATCTGAGGTTATTGATATTTTTCCCAGCAATCTTGATTCCAGTTTGTGGGGAGAGTGAACCACGAACCCTCGGTTTTGAGCAGGGAACAGGCCTTCCTTAGTTGAAGCTTCTCCAGCTCAGAACTGAATGTTGAACTCCAACTGAGGTCTCCTTGAACCTGAACTGCCCAGGTGGGTTGCAAACATCATGTCGCTGTGTGCCTCTTATTCTAGGGTGGTTTCTCCGACTGAATGTTTTTTGTGACATTGGCATTTTTGAAGTGTGCAGCCAGGTTAATTTTTATTTTCTTTTTGAATTGTGAAAGCATAACATTTACAGGAGACTTGGAATTCTGAACCTGTCTGTCCATGTCCAGTTCTAACTGTTGCTTCTTGACCTGCATACAGATTTCTCAGGAGACAGGTAAGGTGGTCTGGTATTTCCATCTCTTTAAGAATTTTCCACAGTTTATTGTGGTCCACACTGCCACAGTCTTTAGCGTAGTCAATGAAGCAGAAGGAGATGTTTTTCTGGAATTCCCTTGCTTTTTCTCGGATCCAGTGGATGTTGGCAATTTGATCTCTGGTTCCTCTGCCTTTTCTAAATCCTGCTTGTACATCTGGAAGTTCTCAGTTCACATACTGTTGAAGCCTAGCTTGAAGGGTTTTGAGCGTTACTTTGCTAGCATGTGAAATGAGCACAATTGCACCATAGTCTGAACATTCTTTGGCATTGCCTTTCTTTGGGACTGGAATGAAAACTGACCTTTTCTAGTCCTGTGGCCACTGCTGAGCTTTCCAAATTTGCTGGCATATTGACTGCAGCACTTTCACAGTGGCATCTTTTAGGATTTGAAATAGCTCAGCTGGAATGCCAAAAAGTGAAAAACAAACGGAAGGCCACTCCATACCCATTGCTATTGAATTTTTTTTACTTTTGACTGCATGTGTGATCTTAGTTCTCCAGTTCCCCTCCCCTCAACAGGAGTGGGAACACCCATCCCACCCCCACCCCCACCCCCACGCCACCCTGCCCCCTGCGGTGGAAACCGATTCTTAACCCCTGAACCTCCAGGGAATTCCTCCATCACCATTGATTTTTACCTTAGTTGCATTGTGGTCTCAGAACATTTTCTGCATTATTTAAATTCTTTGAAATGTGTTGAGATTTGTATCATGGCCCCAGTCATCTTCTATAAAAACAATGTTTTTTAAAAGATTCTCTTTTTTCTCCTCACATTGATACATTTAGCTCTAGTTCACTTATTTTGATTTCTCTATGGTGTCTCACTGTGTAAATATATTTAGGTAGTTTCCAGTTTTTCTCTGTTATAAACCATGATACGGCGAACATTCGGGAACGTGTCTCCTTGTTCCTGTGTGAGAGCTTCTGAGTGTTTAAATAGAAGTGGGCTTGCTGGCCTCAGGCTGTTGGTTGCTTCAGCTTTACCGGCGCCTGCCAGACTGCTCTGCACTGTTCTTCCATTGGCACACCGCCTCCTAATGGGGGAGGAGAGTGTCCATCTCTTGGTACCAGCAGACTTGACGATTTTTCTTCATCCGCATTGTGATTTTAACCTGCATTTCCCTGGTCGATAGAGGAATTGCCTAGCTTCTCACTGTTTATCGGCCATTCCGGTTTCTGCTGTGAACTGCCATTTACGTCCTTTGTTTCTTCCATGGGTTGTCTTCTTGTTGATTTTTTTAAAAATATTTATTTTTATTTATTTGGCTGCATAGGGTCTTAGTTGTGGCACGTGGGATCTAGTTCCCTGACCAGGGATCGAACCCAGGCCCCCTGCATTGGGAGGGCAGAGTCTCAGTCACTGGACCACCAGGGAGGTCCCTCCGTGTGCGTGTTTTGGATGCTAATCACTTGCCAACTGTAGCATTGCCAAAAGGCTCCTTCCTTGTGTGACTTCAACTTTTTTATGGATTTAGATTTATTCATGGCTGTGCTGGGTCTTCACTGCTGCGGGGGCTTTTCTCTAGTTGCGGTGGGCAGCCCTCTCATTGCTGGGCGCCCCCCTTGACGCAGAGCAGGGGCTCTGGGGTGCATGGGCTTCAGAGGTTGGAGCACGGGCCTGAGCAGTAGTGGCTCTGAGCTCTCAGCACAGGTTCGACAGCTGTGGCACACGGGCTTCGTTGCTCTGAGGTCGCACGTGGAATCTTCCCGGACCAGGGATGGACCTCTGGCAGGTGGGTTCTTTACCAGTGAGCCAACAGGGACACCCTTAAACTTTTTAAAGTGGTTTTACATTTTAAGGGCTTCTCGGGTGGCTCAGATGAGAAAGAACTCACCTATAGTGCAGGAGACTCCGTTTGATCCCTGGGTCGGGAAGATCCCCTGGAGAAGGGAATGGCTGCCCACTCCAGTATTCTTGCCTGGAGAATTCCATGGACAGAGGAGCCTGGCAGGCTACAGTCTATAGGGTTGCAAAGAGTCGGACACAACTGAGTGAGTTTCACTTACGTTTTAATGTCCACTTTGAAAATTTAAAAAAAAAAACCTTTCAGAAGTTTTATCTAAATGTTTCAGACACACATTTCATGATAAAAAGTGACAGTTTCCCCCTGGGGAGCAGTTTGGGTACATCTTTCCAGACCTTTTCCTGTGCATCTAGGATCAGTTATTTACTTTCCCCTCAAATAGGATGAATACTCTGTGTATCACGTGGCCTTTACACCAAGTGACTTCTCTGTACCTCTCCTTAGGACAAAGATTTCCCCCTACACCTACACATATATAAACATGCATATACGCACATACAGCCCGCCACCGCCCGGATCCAGGAGTTGCCTAGCACTAAAGAGAGAACCAACCAGCCAGCCTGTCTACACATAATCCTTTTTAAAAAGGTTGTGGTAAAATATGTGTAACATGGGATTTACCATTTTAACCATTTTTAAGTGTATAGTTTAGTGGCCTTATGCATATTTGAAACAGGAGAGAAAAGGGCAGAGCACAGCCTTTTAAAAGAATGACATAAACTGGTCAGAACTAATGGGGTCCTAGACGGTGGAAGATTTGACTTGATCTTGAGCCTCATTATACGTTCATTGTAATATATTAGCATATGCTAAACAACACACACACAAGTGCCACGGCAGTTCCAAGGGCGACCACAGAAGACCAAAACGTGGGTGGTGGCCCCATTTCTGGAAATCTCCACCCCTTCTCCCAAATATTTGGAATAATCCTCCCACTCATTGGGCTTCCCTGGTGTCTCACCTGGTTAAGAATCTGCCTGCAGTGAGGGAGACCTGGGTTGGGAAAATCCCCTGGAGAAGGGAATGACTACCCACGCCAGTATTCTGGCCTGGAGAATTCCATGGACTGTATAGTCCACGGGGGCGCAGAGTCCGACACGAATGAGCGACTGTCACTTTCCCACTCATTAGCCTATGAAATTAGCCAGCCCATAAAAACGAACCACCCTGTATTTCAGGGCCTCTTGCCTTCTGAGATGGCCCACACCCTGTCTGCAAAGTGTGTTTCTCCCAGGAGCACTCTTGCCTTTTGCATTCTGTCTATGACATGTGCGTCTCTGTTTTGAATTGAAGTCTGATTGCTTTACTGTGTTGTGTTACTTTCTGCTGTAGGACATGTGAATCAGTGGGATGTACACAAATGCCCTCCCACCCCTCTCCCAGCGCCCCCAGTCATCGTGGGCGCTGAGCAGAGCTGTCTGCTTCCCACTGGTTGTCTGTCTCACGGGTGGTCCTGTGTATGTGTCAGGGCTACCCTCTCGATTTGCCCCACCCTCCACTTCCCTCTGTGTCCACAAGTCTCCTCTCTACGTCTCTATCCCTGCCCTGCTGATGGGTCATCAGTACCATCTTTCTAGATTCTATATATATGGGTTAATATATGATGTTTTTCTCTTCCTGACTTCACTCTATATGACAGACTCAACAAATGACCCAATTTCATTCCTTTTTATGTTTGCATAATATTCCATTGTATGTCTGTATTACATCTTTATCCATTTCTCTGTTGATGGACATTTAAGTTGCTTCCATGTCTTGGTTATTGTAAATAGCGCTGCAACAAACATCTGT